GATTGCAGTTTGAGCAGTTTGAGCAGTTCGCGCGGTTACTCATTTTCATTGCCCACGGTCATGGGAATGGCGCGGCGCGGCGCGGTGGCGCGTGAAAGCGCCCCCGCCTCGCCCGCCGATGGGCAGGTACGCAGTGTTATTGTTTACGGCCGTGGGAATGGCGCGGCGCGGTGCGGGGGCGCGCGAGAGAACGCCCCTGCCGCGCGCGTCGGTCGGCAGGAGCGGAGCGCATCTGCGCGCAGGGAGGGGGGAGCACGAGAACGCACCCTCCCCCATGCGCGCGGCGGGCTTGCGCCGCAGGTGTTGGGGTGTACTCGTGTCCGCTAGCAGGGGGCACTGGATAGGAGCGCGTTCAGCTCCTGTATGCCCGCCCCTGCCCACCCTGTGCCTTGTGGGGTGTGAGTCGCGCGCGCGCACGTGGCTAGCGGGCGCATGGCGCCCTTGGTGTCCTGTGTTGTGACGCGCGCGACGCGCGGCGTCGCGCGCGTGGTGAGCGAACGCATCGCGTGTTCGGCGCCTTGTGCCCAGTTCCACTCTTGGCCACCCGCTCGTGGGGTGGGGGAGGGGGCTCGCGCCTTGGGGCGCTCGCTTGATGGAGTGCGTGCGCGCAACGGCCAGGAGGCTGGGTTGGGGCCTGGTGGCCCCGACTGCGCGCCGCACAGGCCAGGAGGTTCAGGTTGTTCTGGGCGGGGGTCCAGGGGCGGCGCCGCGCTGCGGCGCCGGCGCGTTGCTGGGGGGCCTGGAAGCCCCAGCGGCGCGCCGCACGGGCCAGGAGGCCCTGGGCGCCTTAGAGGGGTGGCTGGGGCGGCCTGCGCGCGACGGCCAGGAGGCTAGGTCGGGGCGAGGAGGCTCCGACGTCGCGACGCATGAGCCAGTGGGCCCTGGGTTGGCCGGGCGGGCACGTTTGAGGGGCGCAGTCGCTCTTTGGGTCGGAACCAGGAGGCCTGAACGCTGCGCTGCGCGGGTCGGGGGACCGTGGCCAGGCAGCGGGAGTCTGGGGGCGCAGCGCGCAACGGCCTGGAGGCTGGGTCGGGGCCAGGAGGCCCCGATGGTGCGCCGCGCAGGCCAGGTGGCCTGGGGAGGCCGTTGCGCGCGAGCGCGCGCGGGGGGCCCGCGGCGAGCGCGCAGAGGTCCGCGTGCTTGCGCGAGTTCGCGCGGTTCTGCGGTTTTGCGTAAGTGTATGTTTTTTTTCTGATCGCAAGTGTATGTCTTTTCTGATCGAGAGATCCTGGCCCTGGTGAGGAAGTGCCCGGGGGTGGCGCTCCAGGGCGCCAGGCGGCGGTTGCCCACGAAATGGGTCCACTTCGTGGCGATAGCCGACTGGCCCGCGGGGGTCGCACCCGGTCATGCACCATGCCTCGGTGGCCTGGCGCCGTGCCGAGACTGTGGGTTCGGTGCATGCGGTGGATTTCTCGGTGCCCGAAGTGGAGGACGTGGGAGCGCGTCAAAATTCACAGCGCTAGAAGCCCAATCGATCCGGCATCCCCACCGGAGGGCGCCAGGAAACGCGTGCCGGGGCACGGCGTGCCCCCCGCGCACGCCGGCAGCGCCTGCCCGCATGCGTGCCCGGGCAGTGCCGCCCAGGCGCAGTGTACACGATAGCCTTGGGGGTGTAGGAGAAGGCGGCTGCAAAGGCTGCGGGGGCCGAGGGCATCGGGCCCGCGAGCGCATGCGCGCTGCCGGGCGGGGGGCGTGGGCGTCGTGGAAGCCATGGAGGAGCATGTCCAGTCCCAGGAGGCGGCGCGGGCCACAGGCTCCGGATCCGAGGGGCCGTCCACTCCCCAAGCGGCGCGGGCGCGACGTCGCAGACTCGGGGGGCCCAGTGCCCAGGCAGCGGTGCAACGCAGCTGTCGGCACGCAGGACGGAGTGGAAGAATTGGGCATTTGGCAAGTACCCGTCGGGCATTTATGCCGGCGGAGGAAGCGATGGCCCGCCCAGAGGTGGGCGCGCGGCGTTTCGCGGCTCGGTTCGCGGGCGCTCGCGCGGACCTGTCGGGACTGCCGCGCACGCAGTCAGCAATATTTCGCGGGGCAAATGACGTCTTTTCGTCGGGGGTTCGGAGGGCGAGAACCTCCAGGCGAATTTCCGCGTCGCGGGCCAGGGGTTCAGACCTAGGGGCAGTCGTCTGCATCGGCCCCGTTTGGGATAAGGTCCGCGATGCGATAGCTGCTAAGGATGTCGGCTAGCAGGCCCGCGGGTCGATTTCCCAGGCTTCGCGACTTTCCAGTTCGCACGACGCGCGCGCGGTACGCGGTCAGCGTCGGCGGCGCTGGGAAGGCGCATTTGCTAGATTGATGCCATGACATTCGCCCGGGTCTTCGCGCTAGGTCGATTCCCCGTGTGCCAGTTTCATCAGTTTGCGGAGGTGCGCGCGTGCCGAGCGTTGCGCTGCGCGCCCCGTCGCGAGCTGCGCGGGGGTGGTCGTCCTTCATTGAGGGCCGCTTGTGTCACGGCTCGGCCAACGCGCAGGTGTAGATGAGCAAGGCGGCGCGAGAATCGCCGTTGAGCGCCGGTTGCGCATGCGCCGAAAAGCAGCCGGGCGCCTTGGGCAAACGGGCGCGGGGGCGGCGGGGGCCGACTTCTGTATTGGTTTCGATTGGGACATCCGCTTAGGCCACTTCAATTTATTTTGAACTAGATGTACACAAGTTGCATATCATTATATATAGTACATGCATGGTAGTTAAAGGCTAGCTGTATAATATGTTTCTGAAATCGACCGCTCCCTCTTCATTTTCGTCCTCCTCGTCGTCGTCCTCCTTTCGCATACAGGACGCGGAAATTGTAGTGTACACAAACATTGTGGTGCACACAGGCCTCGGTGCACGAACGCGCTGTGTTTCACATTCTCTGTGGGCTCAAAATGCTCGAGCGTTCCTTTGTGGGCACAATCGGATCGCATATTGAATATGGTACACTCGAGCCCCCACCGATTTCCTGGACTTTGGCCCCGTCGGGGTCGCAGAAGTGCACACAAGCTGTTTGGTAAATGCAAGCACTGGTGCACGCGGGGGGGGGCTGAAACAGCAGCTGCGGCGTCAATAATCACAGGCGGTGCGGTGCAGACGGCTGTTGTGGTGTACAAAGGCGTATTGCCACCGCGGCTCCCAGAGTGGGGGCCAGCGAAAATTGACGAGCAGATTGCGAGGGCAGTCTTTGCCGCGTCCGCGCTGCCAGGGGGCGGCCGGACGCCTCGCGACGACGGTTTCGTGCTGCTCCGACTCTTGCTCTTCCTGGTACGCCCCCTGCTGCGCCTCTTCTGCTCCTGTGGTGCCACGGGTGCTGAAACAGCAGCTGTGGTGCACACAGGCGCCCTGGTGTGCACGAGCAGTCTGATGTACACAGGCTATGTGGTGCACGCGGTTGTTATGATGTGTACAGTTTCCGCCGTGCACACACGTACAACTTTTGCAGCAGTTTTGGTGCACACAGGCATTGTGGTGTACAGAGTTCGTGTTGTGCGCACAGGCACTGGGCTTGGGCGACGACGACGGCGAGGACGACGACCACGTAGGCGGCGCGCATCGGGGGGCGCGCGCCGCGCCCCCCGTGGCCGTTACCCCCTCCCGGCCCCCCCCACAGGATAACATGCGTCGGGGGTGGACAGACCTCCTACACCTTAGGCGATGCTTAAGAAAACTCAAGTTTTCGACCAGAGTCTCGATTATTCTTAATGTTTCAATGTAGGTCCTAAGATTTTGATAGAAACGTTGGGTTTTAATTCAAGTTCTGAGACTCTGAATTTCTGAACCCATGATTTCTTAAGCATTTCGCAGGGTGTACCCTGACACGTCGATTCGTGAATTGGCCATTTTCGGTTTCGGTCCCAGGCCGTTTTCACGAAGGGGAGGCTTACTAAAGGGAGGTTTGCCCACCGCCGAATGCGTTATCCCTTCTACGAATGCGACAATGGTGTTCAGCCAGCGGCGCGCCGCTGCGTTCGCCCTGCGTTGGTGCACGCGCCGCCGAAGCCGGGAGATACGCGTGGCCGCCAGCAGTGGGGCGCTGGATGGAGGCGCGGTCGGCTCTCGTTTGCCCACTCGCTCCCGCCCGGCGCACTGCGTGGCGTGCGTCGCGCGAAGGCGCGCGCTGGGGCTGGCGGGCGCCGCGCGTGGCCAGCGAGCGCGTGGCGCGCTCGGCGCCCTGTGCCCAGCCCTGCCCATGCCCGCCCGTTCGTGGGAGGGGGGCTCGCGCCTTGGGGCGTTCGCTGGGCTCTGTCCCACCCTGGCAGCCTGGCCCGCCCGTTTGCGAGGGTTTGCGCTTGGAGGGCGTTCGCCTGGTCGTGCTCCTTCGGAGTGCGCGAGGTGGTGGCGGCGCGGCCGCTGGCTGCGTTTGGTCGTGCGCTTGGGCGAGGCAAGGTGGCGGCGCCCGATGCCGCCTCCCCGAACAACGTTGGCCCCGCGCCCGCGCGGCAGCGCGGGCCTCCTCCCGAGCAGCCAGCGGCGCACCGTTGCGTTTGCCCTGCGCTGGTGCACGCGCCGCCAAAATTGAGGTATTCATACGGAGTGGCCCCGTGGAAATCGATTTCGGTTTCGGCTCGTGTCGCGTGTGCGGGCATGGCGAACTTGCATGACGCCGCGAGGCAATCTCCCTAATGGTCCACGCGGCTTCTGCCTAGTTCCAGCCCTTTGTCGCATGGCCCCGCTCAGTGTCCGTTGTTCTGGCCAGGCTCCTCCCTGGTTCCAGCGTGGCTCAGCCATAGTCTCATGTGGTTCTTGCAGGGCCCCGCGCAGTTGCGATAGTGGCGGACATGCGTCGGTGCTGAAACGAACACTTTGCTCTGGGACGCCTCTCTGAAGCCACGTGTTCGCACAATCCCCGCTCACACGTCACACCTGGCTAAACACAAGGGTGGGCCTCGTCCCGCTTCTCCGTTTCATCGTCTTCACTATGTTTGCTTCCATTCGTTTTTGTTCTCCTGATCCCCTGACTATCCCCGCAACAGCCGCGCCCCAGGCAGGGGTGGACATCCCCGAAGGGGGATGCCGCCGCGCGCCCGATGATGCGGCCGCCCGGACCGGTACGCCCTTTGGGAGGGTGGGAGGGGAGTAAGGCGAGGACGGGCATCAGCAACCGAACTAAAGTTCGGCGGCGAGACCAGGGAAGTGAGAAGGGGCGGGCCTTTTCTGAAGGCTCGGAAATCCCGAAGTTTCATCAGTTTTCTAAGCTTTCCCAGAAGACACAGAAATTGTGTCGTAAGGGTAAGGCCGTAAGGCTTCTAGGAAACCCCGCCGCCTTCTGAGAGGGCCTTCTTTCTCCTTTCTTTCCTCGTTCGCCGCCGAATGGAACGGTGAGGTTTGGAGGGCCGCTGGGGCGGGGGGCTACCCTCCTCCCTCTCCCTTTTCGTGTGGTTTTTCCAGGCCGCGGTGTCCTGCAATTGGCGCGCCACACGTTGGGAGAGGTGCTGCAGCATCAGCGACGAAGCTTACCTCGCAACATCGACCAGCGCGCATTGCTCAGACATGTACAAAGCTTGGGCAAGACTCGACCAGGAGGCGTATCCGTCAGAGATCCGATCACAGGGCAATTCCGACGCGACGAAGATTCACTTGCTTACGCCACGCCGCCGACCCTTGAGGGCCCGTTGATGCCGCGATCGTAATGTGTCATCCGAAATTGACTCATGTGTTGGTCCGATTATCCTATCATTCCTCTTTCTTCCCCTCTTCCTTCTTCTCCTATCTCCTGCCTCCTTCCGCCCCCATCCCTTCGATAGTCGACCCTCCTCGATCTCTGTCCCCCTCCTTGTTTCCTCGATCCGTGCTCGCATCGATTTTCGATCGTCAACCGTCGAACCTGCCCACGGCAACGCTGCCCAGAAGGCAGGCATCCAGGGCCCCGAGAGCGTAAATACGGCTGCGAGGAGCTTCTCGCCTCCCGTTAGGACCTCTCTCTCAAAGGCAGTTTGAAGCTGCTGGGGGGCCGTTTGGGAGCCTCCAGGGGGCTCGTTTGTGCCTTTTGGGGGCCTCTCGGGGCCTCTTGCCGGTCTTGGGTCGACCTTGACGGTTTCTGAGGCAGTCGTGGACGCATGGGAAAAACATACACGATCATATTCCGAAAATCAGTCATCGCCAGAAAATAATTGGGGCAACTGTTTGCCTGTTGGGGTCTTCGTGGGGGTCCTCTTGGCGCCCTCGGGTGACGTCTTGGAGGCTTCTTGGGCTGTCTTGACGCCATCTCGGGGCGACTGGGTACCAGCTGGGAGCACGTGGGGGCCATTTTGGATACTCTAGGAAGCCATTGCGGAGCCGTCGGAGGCCGTCCAGGAACATGTCTGAGGCTGCCGGGACCGCCCTCACTTTTGGCCGAACGGAGTTCCCTGGGGGAGGGGCTTGGGGAGAGGCGACAGTCTCACACGCCGTAGACCGTAGACCCCGAGGGGTCGGCGGATGCTCTTGTACTTCCTCGCTCCTCGGAGGCAGGTGGAGCGGGAGGAGGACGACGACGAGGTTGAGTGCAAAGGTCGAGGAGCGTCTTGCCCTTCGTCTTGTGGGGGGCAGATGCGAGGCGACCCCGTTCGCAAACCCGCGCGAGCGGCACCCAGGCCGCTGCCTCGGGGTCGAGCCCGCCGTCGCTGCTGCGCCCTGGCATGGGGCACCAAGGCTCGCGTTGGAGGGGGGGGGCGGGGGGCAGGTGGATGGCGGAGCGGGTCCTGGGGGAGCGGGGGGGAGAGCAGCGGAGCGCGGTTGGAGAGGTGGGATGGGCTAGGGGGAGAGGGAGGAGGGCGGGGATGGGGCAGGGGACGGAGAAGCAGGAGGACTCGTCAGTGCTTGCCTTCCCGCGACGGCTGTTCTCGCGACCGCAGGCTGGACCTCCCTGGTGCCGTGGGAGTCAGCCCTTCACACTCGATGCAAAACTCTGGCCGTCCAGGCAGTCCATAAAACATGATGCTCGAGCCCGAAAGAAGCCACATACGGTAGGTTCACGCCGTGTCGACCGATGGCGACCCCGCCGCCAGCGTTCAACGTCGAACGCCGCAAACGATACAACATCGTGCGATATTGAACGATCGTGTGTTTCGGAAATGGCCTATCGTTCTAGGTTGAGCGACACTGGTGTTGTCAGGAACCAACGCCTGGGTCGACAGGTCACGGACTTGGCGTAGCCAGGGAGAACGGCATCCACGAGAGCACAGAACACAGTGCCATACATGAGCGACGTAAGACAGTTGGGACGGCTGCGCCGACATTGGCGCGTAAGCTGCCCGCGTAAGGTCGCGCGTGAGCGCCCTCGTTTCCAATGTGGCGTGCCTCTCTGGCGGCCCGCGTATGTCAAGGTCGCTACAGTGGAGGCCCATGCCAAGAAACACCCTGTTTGCCTCCAGGGTGCCCTGGGTTTCTTGGGTCTCGATGGCCTTGCTGTGGAAGGCGTGACGTTCCCATACCAAAGATCAATGGACGTCCTGGGGTCTCAGGGTTTGCGTCTTTTGTTGCAGGTTTCTTGCGGTCGGGCCTCCTCTGCATGCCATGTCGGGTAAGACCGCCCTTTCTCTTCTTCGCTCTCGTGGCCCTGCCGCTCCCGGTCGTGTGAGGCGGGTCGGGCACCTCTCCGGGCTCCTGCCCTCGACGGCCGGGCCAAACGCCTCTGCGGCCGCCGAGGTTCAGCCTCGGCCATACACGGGGGCAGTGTGGCAGGGCCATACACGTGCAGGAGGAGGAGAAGCCAGGAATCATGAGGAGAAGGACGAGCGGCGGATGATGGTAATGATGTTGTTGATGCTGCTGATGACGATGACGATGACGATGACGATGACGATGACGATGCTGATGCTGATGTTGATGATGAGGAGGAGGATGAGGAGGATGAGGAGGATGAGGAGGATGAGAATGAGGATGAGGATGATGCTGAAAATGCTGATGATCATGATGTTGTTGATGATGCTGCTGCTGCTGATGGTGATGATGATGATGATGATGATGATGATGATGATGATGGTGACAATGCTGATGCTGATGATGATGATGATGCTGCTGATGATGATGATGATGATGATGATGATGATGATGATGATGATGCTGATGCTGATGATGCTGATGCTGATGCTGATACTGATGCTGGTGCTGATGCTGATGCTGCTGCTAACGCCGCCCGCGCGCGCGCGCGCGCCCGCGCCCCGCAGGTCCCCACGCGGGCGCCCCGTCCGGAAAGGGTGCTGGTTTCGCTCCGCCGTTTGGGCCTGGAGGCAGCGCCGGGGCACAGGCCACCGGGAAGGGGTCGGGGAGGAGTCGGGTGCGACGAGAGGGGCGAACAGCCCACGGGGGAGCAATACACATATCCAGGGGCGCCGATGGTCCATTTCTTCAGCGAGTCTCCCCGGTGAAAACGTGCAATGCCCGCAAGTGGGCTATACGCCCTCATCGTCGCCCTTGAAGGAGGGGGCGGGGGATGGCAAAAAAGGAGGGTGGGATTGGCCCAGGGCGCGTGGGCATTGCCCGTCTTCGCTCGGAAGCCTCGCCGGATGCGGAATGTATGGGCGACCTGAGCCCCCGGATAAAGGTACGTTGTGCTCACCCCCTTGGCCATCTTCGCTTGTTGCAGCTGGCAAGGGAGCGGGGAGATCTTCGGCAGGGACCAGGAGTCATGCAAGTGGGAGTGGGGCGGGCAGGAAGCGTATCAGGAGGAGGAGGAGGAGGAGGAGGAGGAGGAGGAGTAGGAGGAGGAGGGGAGGATGAGGAGGAGAGCGAGGGCAATGAGCACCAGGACGATGATGAAATCGAGGTTGGGTAAGCCATAGCGTTAGCGTCAGGAGGAGGAGGAAAACGGCAACGACGAGAAAAGAGTCGAATCCAGAGACGTGGCTCACGCTGGGGCGAGAGCGCCATTCCGAACGACGGGCGGAGAGCTCCAGCCCTGAAAGGTGGCCAATCCTGCAGCGTTTGCGCTCTCCTTGGAGGACCGGCGACGTTCCGCCTAGGAGCACTGCGTGAGCAAAACGCATCTGCTGGAAATGCGTGCGAAGGGGATGCGCGGGAGGGGCGGGAGCGCGTACGGGCGGCAACTATCTTGGGAGAAGGGGGTGTATGTCATTGGGAATTGTGGGGGTTCGAGGGAGGGCATGGAACGGGAGGGGAGCAGCGGAAGATATCAAGGAATGCCATCGGGATCGGCAGGATTGGAAGGCCATCCTGTGGACTCGTGGGGAGAATCTGCAGTCCATTCTGGATTATCCAGCTGCCTGCAGCAAGTCCCGCCACCGTGTCAGCCCAGCGTTCTGGGTGGCGGCTCTTCGGGGGGGGGGCATGGGGGGCCGTCACGTGTTACTTCTCGTGTCCCCAGGCTTGGGAGAGCCGCAACATGTGACACACTTTTCCGCGTCGTCTCGGAGGCTTTCTTCTCATCGCCATCGTCTTCTTCTCTCCCGTCCGTCGTTTCTTCGGATCCTGTGGGGCAGTTTTGGGAGTCCTTTGGGTCACTTGGGACCCTCTTGGGCCGTCTTTGAGCTTTCTTGGGCAGTTTTGGGACCTCTTTACCGCTTACCGCCTGGCGGGCCTCTTGCTCCCGTCGTGGGGCTGCTTTGGGGCCGTCTTGGGCCGTCGAGAAGCCTTCTAACGCGGTCTTGGAGCTCTGCCAGCTTGGGGCTCTCTCGGGACCGCCCTGGGCCGTCTAGAGGCCCTCTTGCGTTGCCTTGAGGCTGTCTTGGATGATATTCGGCCGGTTGCGGGCCCTGCTGGACCGCCAAGGCAATCCGAAAAGGTGAAGCCGCCAAAATCGTTGAACACATGTTTGGGGAAATCTATGACTTAGGCCTTTTCGAATGCTACTAGGGGTCCTCTGGTCGCCCTCGTTGGGCGTCTTGGGTGCATCTTTTCAGGCTGCCTTGAAGCCATCTTCTGCCGTCTTGGGGCTATCCTGGGCCGTCTTGGACAACTTAGGCCGTCTTGGTGGTCTTAGTGGCCTGCCTCGTCCGTCTTGGAGGCTCGGGAGCGCGGATCCATCGTGCTTTACTAGGGGTCGTTGCCCCGGGAGCACGGACCATAGTTTTTCCCAGCCATCCTGTGGTGTTGGGTCTTCGGTTTGAGGGGACGGCGCTCCTCCTCCTCCGCCTCCTCCTCCTCCTCCTCCTCCTCCTCCTCCTCCTCCTCCTCCTCCTCTCCTCTCCCCTCCCCTCCCCACCCATCCCCTCCCCTCCCCTCCCCTCCTCTCCACTCATTCTTCTCTTCCCCCTCTTTCCCCTCCCGCGCCACCCAGTACGGCGTTTCGTGGCCCAGAGGAAGCTCCACCAACGGCCTCAGTGGCTGAGTTCACATGCCTCCTGCTCCACCCAGTACGGCACTTCGTGGCCCCATGGGGAGCTCCACCGAAGGCCCCAGCGGCTGTGATCGCATGCGTCCCGCGCCGCCCAGATCCATCCAGTACGGCGTCTCGTGGCCCCATATGGAGCTCCTCCGAAGGCCCCAGTGGCTGTGAACACATGCGTCCCGCGCAACCCAGCACGGCGTTTCGTGGCCCCGCCAGGGGGCTCCACCGAAGGCCCCAGTGATTGTATTCACATGCGCCCCGCGCCACCCAGCACGGCGGTCCGTGGCCCCACAGGGGGCTTCACAAAAGGCCCCAATGGTTGTGATCTTTTGTGCCCGCGCCACCCATCAAGGCGTTTCGTGGCCCCGTTAGGGAGCCCCACGGAAGGCTGTGATCACATGCGTCCCGCGCCACCCAGTGCGGTTTTTCGTGGCACCGCATGGAGTTCCACCGACGGCGCCAGTGGTTGTGTTCACATGCGCCCCGTGCGACTCAGTGCGGCGCTTCGTGGCCCCATAGGGAGCTCAGCCGAAGGCCCCAGAGGCTGTGCCCACCTGCGTCCCGCGCCACCCAGTACGGCGCTACGTGGCCTCATAGGGAGCCCCACCGAAGGCCAACGGTCGTGTTCACATGCGCCCGCGCCACTCAGTACGGCGTGTTCACATACGTCCCGCACCACCCAGCACGGCGGTTCGTGCCCTCATGGGGAGTTCCACCGAAGGCCCCAGCGGCTGTGATCACATGCGTCCCGCGCTACCCAGTACGGCGCTTCGTTGCTTCATGGAGGGCTCTACCGAAGGCCCCACATGCTGTGTTCACATACGTCCCGCGCCATCCAGTACGGCGTTCCATGGCCCCTATGGAGCTTCACCGAAGGCCCCAGTCGCTGTGATCACATGCGTCTCGCGCTACCCAGTACGGCGCTTCGTGGCCCCATAAGGGGGGCTTCACCGAAAGCCCCAATGGCTGTAATCACACGTCCCGTGCCATCCAGTACGGCGCTTCGTGTCTCAATGGGGAGCTCCGCCGAAGGCCCCAGCGGGGGTGTTCACATGCGTCCCACGCCACCACGCATTGCGTTTCGTGGCCCCGAATGGAGCCCCCCAGAAGGCCCACTGGTTGTGCTCACATGCGCCCTGGCCACTCAGTACGGCGTTTCGTGACCCCATACACAGCTCCACCGGAGGCAGCAGTGGCTGTGATCACATGCGCGTCCCGTTTCGTGGCCCCATATGGAGCTCCACCGAAGGGCCCGGAGGCAGCTTTCGCATGCGTCCCCGCCGCCCGTTTCAACACGTCCTCACGCGCTTCGTGGCGCCATTGGCCATGGGGAGCTTCGCCGCTGGCCCCAGTGGCGACGTTCGCACGGCGGCCCCGCTCCATTTCGGCACATCCCTCACACGTATCGTGGCCCCATATGGAACGCCACCGAAGGCCCAATAATGGCGGCCGCATGCGCCCCCACCCCACGTTGGCACACCGTTTGAACGCTTCGTGGCCCCTCAGTGATATCCACCCAAGGCGACACCCACACCTGTATATGATTTGGCCCTTCGTCAGGATAATATACGACGGCAATCCTGTGGTTTCGAACCCTCGCTTTGAAGAGATAGCGCCCCGCGTCCCGCTTTACCTCGCCTTCCTCCTCCCGCTCCTCCCCCCATCCCCTCCGTGCCTCTGCCCTTCGCATCAATTTGCCGTGTCGGCACGCCCCGCGCACGCTTCGCGGCCCCACAGGAGCTCCATCGAAGGCCCCAGCGGTGGTGTTGCGCATGCGTCCCCGCCAAGAAATTTGGCACACCCCTCACACGTTTTCGCGGCCCTATATGGTGCACCACCGAAGGCCCAGCGGCGGTTTTCGCATGCGTCCCCGCCGCCCAATTCGGTGCACCCCGCACGCGTTTCGTGGCCCCGCGGGGAGCTCCACCGACGGCCCCAGTGGCGGCGTTCGTATGCGTCCCCGCACCCGGCTCGGAACACCCTGCGCATGCGTCGTGGCCAACTATATCTTCCACCGAGGGCCCCCGGAGACTGTGGTCGCATGCGTCCCCGCCGCTCAGGCAGCACACCGCTGACGCGCTTCCATAGAGAGCTCCACCGAAGGCCCCAGTGGCAATGTTGCGTGCGTCCCCGCCACCCATAGTGGCGCACCCGTCGCGCGTTTCGTGTCTTCATGGGGAGTTCCACCGGAGGCCCCACTGGCGGCGTTTGCATGCGACGCCGCCACATATATATATATATATATATATATCGGCGCACCCCGCAGACGTTTCTCAGCCCCATAGGGGGCCCCACCGAAGACCCAGGTGGCGGCGATCGCATGCGCCCCCGCTGCCGATTCTGGCACGCCCCTCGCGCGGTTCGTGGCCCCTTACGGAGCTCCACCGAAGGCCCCCGAGGCGGCGTTCGCATGCGCCCCCGCCGCCCATGTCGGCGCAACCCTCGCACATTTCGTGGCCCTGGGGCTCCACCGACGGCCCCAGTGGCGGCGTTCGCACGCGCCCCCGCCACCCAGTCGGCACGCCCATCGCGCGATTCGTTGGGCTTCGACAAGGGCGGCGGACCCCAGGGCACGAACTTGGAGCGCAATGGAGCGCGCAAAACCCGAGCTGCGCCCGCGCTGCGACGAGACCCCTCGGCGCAGTCCAAGCTCCAGATCCCCCTCGACTGGAGCAAGCGCGCGGACGAGCACAAGGTGGAGAAGTTCGCCGCCCTGCCCGCCGCAGCGAGGGCCGAGCCGCAGAACAAGTGGCACTGGAGCCGCGAGACGGTTACCCGATGGCGCGCTCAAGCCGCCCTCGAGAAGAAGGTTGGCACGGCGAGGCTCGACAAGAATGGAATCCGAGGCTGCGGGCGCGCCCAAGTGTACCAGGGCATGCACAGTGAGGGGCCGAGGCGCCAGGCTGTCCCGCGAGATCCGAGGTGAAGTCCCCGCCGAGCGCCCTTCCGAGGGCATCGCG